GTGCAATTACTAATAATTTTCTTAATTAAAACTTTAGAATAACTTTATTTTAATATATCATTGTAAAAATTAAAAATTTTTTATATTTAATTCGATTTGATTCGATCAATTCGATCAAATATTTGATTTGACAAATATTTGATTCAATTTGATTCAATTCAATCAAATTCAAATTAATTTGATCAAATATTTGAGTTTGATTTGATTTGATTTGATTTGATTTAAAAAAATCAAATCAAATTCAAATTGCTTAAATATTTAATTTGATTCGATTTTGAAGAACCCTATAAGCCAGATTTTTAAGGATTCTGATGATGAATTAAATGGTTCTGAAAAACAATTTAAAGCTGAAGAAGCTAAAGATGATGAACTTGTTTTTTTTGGATTAAGTTTTTTATTAGATTCTTATTATCTAGAATTGCATATTTATAATATTAATAAATCTCAAGAGTTATGATACTCAATTATTCCTAAATATGACAATGTTAGATTTAAAAAAAATTATAAGAATGGATTTCTAAGTTTTCAAAATCTACTAGTTAAATTAGATTACATTTAATTTTTTAATCAACTGTTAATAAACAATAAACTCCAGTTGAATTATAATTAGCTTTTTTTGAGAAGAATAGGTTCAAAAGATAAAATTTTTAGTATATGTTCATGATATAGTTTTTTAGAAAGTACTGTTTATTTATATTATAAAAGAGTTATAATTGCTATTTTTTCATTAAAATGTAAATTAGTTAAGTATATTGAAATTTCTTTTTTTATCAAAATATTTCTATACTTATAAATGAATGTGATTATTTACTTAGAAATTTAGCATATCCATTATCTAATTTTCTTATTAAACTCTTTAATAATCCTGAAAATTATTTATAAATACAATTTAATATTAAACATTTTCACATTGTATAATAGTAGAAAATGCTTTTAGAAGATTTAAAAATAGATTTGATTGTTTAAAAAAATTAAATGTTAGAAAAATATCATCTACAATTTGTATTACTAAATGTTGTATAATTTTTTTAGAAACAAATAATAATGGTTGGGATGAATTGGATGAAAACAATAATAATAATTATAATGAAGAAAATAATGATTTAAATAATGCTTTAAGAAGAGCAGAAGAATTAAAAATAATTCAAATAATGATTCAATCACTTTAATAAAATTGATATTTTTTATTAAATTCAAATTATTATTATTATATTTATTATTATATTAAACTAACAATCTAAATTAAAACTAAAATTATTAATATTAATCTTTCTTTTTTGATATTTTAATTCTAATACTTTCATTTTTAAGTCAAAATCCATCCTTATTTTCTTTCTTTTTCTTTCTTCTTTTTGTCTTTCATATACACATCTTTCTTTTTCAACTTCTAATCTCTCTTTTTCTAATTTATGATTTTTATTTATTCTTTCTTATTATAATAACATTTTCTTTTTTCAAATCCTTTCACATACTGTTATAGCTGTAGCTATTATCTACAAAGTTGAATTGAATCAAATATTAAAGCAATTTAAATTTGATTTAATTGAATCAAATTGAATCAAATATTTCAAATCAAATCAAATCAAAAATTAATTTAGATGTGATCAAATTGAATCAAATATAATTTGTATTTGTATTTGATTTGATTTGCAAATTGAATATTCAAATATCAAATCAAATTATAGAATCCTAGTAGCTATAACTTTATCATTATTTTTAGTTTTTGTTTTTTATAACCTTCTTTTTTTTAATTTAACTTGCTTCTTTTTAATAATATCTATTGATGTATTTACCAAAAATGAAGGTATTAAATTTTTACATGTTCCAAAAATTATATCTAATTTATTATACCTAAAGTTTTGAATGAATTAAAAGATAAAACTTATTATAATATATTACATATTTATATAATTAATTTAAAAAAAATTTTTTTTAAAAATATTAATTATTTATAAAAGTAAATCAGAAGAGAATTATAGTAAATAAGCAGGCAAATTTGTATGTGAAATCTTACAATTTAATGAATAGCAAAAAATGCTTTTGCAGCTTTGGAAATACTTTTTTTACTAAAAAAAAATTATAGTAAAAAGTATCTCTGTGGCTTCAAAATGCCTTTTTTATTAAAAAAAACATAGTAAAATACATTTTCGCTAAGGTTGCTGAACGAAATTAAGAGTTTAGACAGACGTCTAAATGGTATAAGTAAAACTTGATTAAATTATATTAAAACCTTATTAAAAAATCTGCGAAATTTGGAAAAAGATAAAACTATATCAAAGAATAAAAAAATGGAGAAACTATATAAAACACTTAGTAAAAATTTAGCGAAACTAAAGGTTTAACTGTTTTGCTAAATCCAAAATAAGTTTAGACAAGCAACCTTAATCTTTGCAGCTTTAAAGATATTATTTTATTAAAAAAAAATAGTAAAAAATGCCTTTACAACTTCAAAGACGTTAGTTTCTAAGAAAACATAATAAAAAACACCTTTGCAATTTCAAAGACATTATTTTACTAAGAAAACATAGTAAAAAATGCCTCTATGATTTCAGAGACATTTTTTTTACTAAAAAACCTAGTAAAAAAATACATCTGCAGCTTCAAAAATGTTTCTTACTAATAAAATATTTACAAAGCTGAAATGATAGTTATTATTAAGTTTTCTTAATAAAACTAAAGCTGTAATAGCAGTTATTACTAAGTTTTCTTAGTAAAACTGAAGCTGTAATAGCAGTTATTACTAAAGATAGGAACTGTAATTAATATGTTGCAACTTTTAATGTTGCAACTTACGTTGCAATTAG